TTGAACCTGGTCTTCCGTCGGTGAACACTGCAGGCGAAGTCGCGAAATCCTACAGGCTTATCTAGGCTCTGTTAGCTCAGGTCAGGGCTAAAGTGTAATTACTGTTCCAGAAACCTCCTGCTGATGAACTCTACACTAGGCTGAGGCAACACTTCTATGACCACAAGGAGATATCTGTAGAGTGCCTGCCCACAGATGGCCAAAAGATCTTGGCTGTTGGTTCTGAAAACCACTCGGTCTCACGGCTATGCGAAATGACAGCCGGGATGGTGGTGCGGTGATTCCAGTCGACTTCCACTTCGCCGCTGCCGACTGCGAACGAACAAATGACAATGCGAATGGCGTCTATGACGGAGGAAATGGCCTCTCTAAAATGCCGGCGTGCGCGTTTCACCTCCCATCGGTTGTTCAGCTTTCCTCGTGGCCGTTTTTGCTCTCAGCATCGAATAGTCGGCACGTATTGGCAACATAAAAACTTCGGTGCCAAGGCTTGTCGATGTTCTTCTCCCTGAATCTTCAAGTCCACACAGGGGTACATGTCGGCTAGGGAATAAGGGCGACCGCTTTCTCTGGTTCCTCTGGCCCTGGTCGCATTTTCTACGTTTGTGACAGTCTGACTCGCAGACATTTTCTTGTTCTTCCAACCTGTAAAACTTAAGAGGGACGAATTAATGCGGCGCACTCTCCATCTGGACGTCTTCAAAAAGCTGTCAAAGTAGGACTGAAAAGGTGCAAGGGCATGTAACTTAGTCACGTCTTCGATTAGTTTACATGAAATAATATGTACAGGAATTAAGAAATGCGTGCGGATTACAAATGCAGAGGCAGCGCCCAACACGATCGACTATTGCATGTGGTGATGAAGGGAGGTAGGGGTAAGAGCCTAAATTATCGGATCAAAAGGAGTCCTTGGGGTTTATGGCTACGCAGTCGTTACTTTCACCGTCACCATTCAAACCGACCACGTCTAGTTTGAGAAGTTGTACTAGCTGGCCGACAGTCATCTGCAGCAGTTGAGCACGATCCTCCCCGGGGCCGGCGGTCCCGCTGGCATGAGAACTGGACCGACGAGCCCCGGCACCGACCATACAGTCCGTTTCCGAGGCCACTGGCAGACGCGAGTGCAAAGAGTGCAGGGCCATCTCGATGCTGTCTCGGACAATAAAACGATGCACGATGCAGCACCTGAACAGAAGGCAAGTGCGGGAGGAAATGAAGGGTAAATAAAAAGAGATGGGGCGGTAGTCAAGCCTAATAAGGACTGTGAGCTACTTACGCGGGGATAGAATTCGTCCTTAAAACAGTAGGCATAGACAAGAAGTTTAGGGATCTATCCCTTGAAAGAGATTTATGATATAAAGTAGCGTGAATTACTGGAAGCTGAGTTCGGGCCGAAGGTATTACGGTCCGGTTGTCTTGCAGCAAGAGTTAAGGAATTTTAAAGGCAGACCGATTCGAAAATTTGGCATGTCAGAAACAAAGTGCGAAAAAATGTTGTGAGCTGGCAAATGCCAATATCAACAGGGAAGAAGTTTCGAAAAACTGCAAGCTTAGTTGACACAAAAGTAAAGGAGAAAACTCGATATTCTGTCAGAGGGTCGAGACAGTAACTATTTTGTAAGTCTGTTAAAGTTCTGGAGGCTAGAAAGATACAAGTGGCCGATATTACTTGCAAAGCGGACGACAGGAAACGGATAAACTGACAGGTAGGGTGCCATGAGCCTGAAAAAAGTCGATGAGTTGGAGAGTGAAACTGGGTGTCGGAAGCACTGGCGAGACACCGCGCCTAGTCGCCACGGGCACTCTAAACAGGCAGCCGGCCTTGTTAGACCTTGCCTTCCCCCTAAAGAAATTCGATGCTTCGCAAATAAGAACCTCAAGTGGAATTTTAACTGCGGCTGCAACCAATTGTGCCGTCTAAAATGTGCAAACAGCCTGGCCAGAAGCAAAGAGTGGGCCATCTCTGAACGGAGGGTAAATCATCATGCATATCAGGGTGGTTGGTATTTTCAGAAATCACCTGGGAGTAACTGAAGTCAGACGAGGTAAAGTACTAGCGCATGAGATAGTTTGCAAAAAATAAATATAGACGGCAGCATTGGAGGCAAGCATAAACAGTCCAAAGCGGTTATCAACCGGAGAATATGAAAATGTCGATAATTAATACCATAGTCTGTCCGTCATACCCGAGGACAAACACTACTGCCCGCGAATGCAACAATAAAGGAGACGCTTCTCGACGTCCCTTGAGCGCAACACGTGTTGGCTACCACTGAGGGAGTCGAACCCACGACTAGAAGGGGAAGGCTTGAGTACAACCAACGATATGGCCACCTGAGCTACGAGGCCCCATCGGGAGCGGTGAGTATAATCCCATTTGGGTCAAGATAAATTATACAAAATCTACCAAAACACCTAGTAATTAAATGAGCCTGGTAGTCATCTGGTAGATTTCAGATTAATTACTCGGGGAATCCTGCTTGGACAGTCAGGTTGCTGTATCAGATTTAGTGGATTCTATATATTTCAGTAGGCTGGGTAAGTAGTTTGACCAAAATGTGATTAAATTCACGCCTACCGATGGAGCCTTATAGCTCAGTTGGCTAGAGGGATGGCTGTGCTAATGGTTTTACCTTGTTGTCGTAGGTTCGAATCTTACGAAGGTCACCAGAGTTTCCGTAGCTAGGTCAGAACAAACAATCAATACAGTACGGATACAAGCGAAGATGTGAGTTCTAGGAATTAGTTGGTAAAAAGTAGAGGCGATCGCTGGAACAAGAGCTTTATTCGCCTGACGTTTCGGATTCTCACTTGAATCCATCATCAGAGACAGTGACAGAAACAGATGATTCGCGTCCAGGAAGTTGCAGTATTTATAGGCTGCAGTCACTATGCTACCGCATACTTATGATAATTAACCACTCTCCGATTCATCAAGAATTGTTCTCCCCTGGTGCGCTAATTGCTTGATGGCCGGCACGCAAGTTGTCGATTGCTGAAATCTCATCACCCGTGGATTCGAATCCTACGGAGGTCGACAAAGTTTCCGTAGTTGGGTCAAAATGAACTATTGATTTAGTCTCTGCAAAACATGCCATCCTTAGACCTCTTTTTACTAAGTCTGCTAACACACTGCCACCTGTTAATATGCTAGATGAATAGTAATAAAGACTTTAGGTCAAGTACAGTGGCTACTTTATGGAGTCGTATGATAGAACACGTTCTGAAAACTATGGATTAATATCAGCGAACAGAAGGGCTACGTAGATGATGAGTTAAAAACGAACCTGGTCTGACCAATCCGATGTAGGCGAGCAATCGCCTGCGTTTCCCGGCCATGACTAATCACTGGATCGATGAGGAGGACATGATTGGCTTCAGTGAGGTTCAGGCCGTTGGAACCTAACTGAATTGGTAGAAGGAGAACCCAGGTGCGGGAGCCTGCACAACGGAACCCCGCCAAATCACGAGCGTCTCTTGCTTTGAAAAGGGTGGCAAACGCGATGCCATTTTGTTCTAATGCGCGAGCCATTGTGTAGAGGACAGACAGCCACTGAAGGTGGAAGAGACAGTGGAAGATCAGTTGAAAGGCCTGTTACACTCCTAGTGGGCTGCCTATGTAAATATGTGGCAAGCGTTCTACGACAAAACGTTCGCTGTCGTCAGTAGCAAGTTGGTGGACAGACAGAATGGGATCCAGTGAGATCCTAACCGCAACATTGAGGGTCAAACGCTCACTTGACATGTTTATATACCTCACTTCATATAGTTTATGACGTACTGATGATCGGTAACGACCGTAAAACAGCTGTCTGCGTCTGGCCTGGTGCACTCCCAGTGAGCTGCTTATTTATCTCATGAAATGATAACCGAAATTGTGGAATGCGTTTTCGACTAGGAAGGATTACATATGTATATTTATCAAATTAGTTGTCATGCAGGATACTTCCATAATATTTCAGAGACATCAGGATATTAGCTTACAAATGCAATCATTTCCGGTTGTCTGGAAAAAAACATACTAGGTAAACAAACGACTACTTAAGTGATAACATTTTTTTTACCAATTTGGATGCTCTTATAAACTTACATGTATTTTATAAAAAAGTGCGGTCAGAGATGGCATTTCTTATGCTTATTTGGAAGACAATAATTTCTACTTCAACGTTTGGTGCTCAAAGAAAAGGTATACTTAGGTTTTAAAAGGTTTCCCAATTACCGAATAGTTTTACGCCCGATCTTTCGTTACATTTGCGTTCAGAGTTTTCAGTCTACAAGTCTTATACTTTCCGCCTAAGGAAAATCATACATTCTTCAATGCATTAAGAAGATACCATGTAGGGCTCATAAAATTTGGCAATGGACGTGGACTATGCTGTATACTTTTCAAGATGATTTACTAAACTACACATACGATGCAATTTGGATGCACATCTCACGGTTTAAAAAATCACATACTTTGAAACCTTTTTAGAACCAAAAGATACGATTTGCTACCAAACAAGTATAAGAATATTTTTATGCTTGATTCTTATAAAATATACCTGACATTAAGGGGGCAGTCAAAATCAAGAGAATAAACAATACTGCATAAGAAGTTGCTTTTTTCCGAGTGCGGTTTTTACGAACGACCGAAAGAGAGTGTGTATAACAGCTAATATCCCGTCGTGTCTGAAATATTAGAGTATTATGTTGCCCGATAACAAATGTCCTAACCCCACTTAAGTAACCATTTCAAATCGAGAGCAGGTTGGAATTCTGGTTAACATTTCATGGAATCGGTCAGACTGTAGAAAACGCGGGTGTGCTGAAGGAATGAACATACCGAACTGAAGACTACAGCCTTGGCGTCGGCATCGTCGCGCTTGATGGCCTTCAGACACCTAACGACCTCACGCACTTTGGAACTGTGATCACCCTGGAAACCGGAATAGATATAAAGTTAGTACAGTGAAAAGTCATTAGACGTCTGCTTTGCAAGCGGCAACCAAACCCACCAAAACACGATCCCCTTCCGAAGCGCTGTGATTGCCATCCTCGACCGCGGCCTTCTGTTCATCAACATCCCCTCCGCCAAAATGCATTAGAGTGAGGGGGTGCCGACGAACAGCTCTATTGCCGCCCGCGGTGAGCAAGAATGGTGCACGGCAAACGGGACAACGACGTTGCGCAGCAACAGCCAGCCCGCGGATGCGATCGTAGCAGGCGAGACAGAGACTGTGCCAGCAGTCGGGCAGAAGGACGAAAGTTGGACGTTCTGGCGAATGGATCATCAGACAAGCGGGGCATTCGAGTTGACCAGCTCCCGGACGACCGCTTTCAGACTGTTGCTGCAGGGCGTTGCGAAGAAAGGCCAAATGGCCCAATCGACTCTTGAGAGTAGACCAGGCCGTTAGGGCGTCTGCAGTCTGAGACTGCAGTTGCGAATCCACCTGGGCATGCATGAGAAGTATACTTATATAAGCAAAAGGGTAGACCACACGTCAGGATGGAAAATTTAACCATTCGAGATGCCAAGTATCGTTACTGTCGTCAGACAATCATGGTCCTGAGGGTTGAACCTACATCACGTTGGCCACCGAACGCAATGCTCTGCCACGTGAGCTATAACTTCTCACTGTCGGCTGCGAATGGGGATTTTCGACGACAGACGGGAGTGCAGTTTGTCAATTAACTTGCCTTCAGGACTAAGGTTGGTTGTTTCCCTAACTGGTTGGCCAAGGCTACGCAACCGTCCGTGCAGGCACAGAGACCTAAATTCCAAGGTAAAACCAAACGTCACCTCCACATGATTCCTTACAAAACGCCGCAGACATTAACTTTGATGGTCTTTTTTATGAGAAACATAAAGCAGAGGCAGTTAACGAATGAGGCTGTGATTGCGCAGACTACCTTCTCACTGGACAAATTCACTTACATTCCTGGTTCTTAGTCGCTGGCCGCATTCGCTGAGATCAAAAACTAAGAACGATGATCGTTGGCGAGTGAATTAGAAGTCGACAAACTATTGCTACATTCTCCTGGTTCTGGAAACACATGAATGCCAGTAGCCGTCTAGTTTAACCACACAAATCTTAACCCATCGTTGTTCAAGACAGCCACTCTTTAGGAATGCGGACAAACGGCAAACGAAAGGGCAAGAGAGGCAAAGGGCTGGCTTAACTAACCTCGTCGGGTGGGACAAAGGCCAAGTCAGTGGGACTCGTTGCTTGGAGGCGCAAGACAAACTGCTCAGCGTCGTCGTGGACATTCCACCACTCCTTGGTCAGAAAGTGGACGCGTCCAATGAACTAGAACAGTAAAATTCGATAGCGATACAGTGTAAATCTATCAGCAAAATAGATAAGACCAGGGAAGAGAAGTGTGCGTGCAAGTAGTGATGGCGACGAACACCGCTTAGCCCACGCTGTCCACTAGGCAGAAAGGAATAAGGATGGAAGGGGAAACAATCCTGTTTTAAAATTCCAACTAAAGACCTGATTCAGCTGACTGACTAGCGAGATAGGCTAGTAATGGCACTCATGAACTAAATAGGGATGCTGAGGCCAGAACAACCTTGTCTTATGAACGCTTGTGTGTGTATGCGTGCTTGGTAGGCTAGAAGATTCGGCTGGGGCATGAGAGAGTGAAATGAGATTAGGATTGACACTGGAGAATTCAACTTCATGGCACATCCGCACACTGCTCGCAATGATAAAACGAATGCGCCTGATTCTATCAAGATGGGTCATGGCTTGGAAGTCTGCCAAATTACAGGATAATTCTCTCCTCCTCAGAACTGAGGGTGAAAGATGAAAGAAATGCCACCTGTACGGCACGCTTCAGTGACCTTAAGACAGGTGTGCTTATCTTTGGACAGCCTGCACCCACATCAGGCGAACACGAACTACATACAGGCTTCAAGAGGCTGCCAATATGAGGAGGTCAGTCGAGTGGCACCGTCGCAGACCAAGAAAACTTTGGCGGGTCAAATTGAGGTCATTACTGCTTAGTCCATTAGGCTGATGAACTTCTTTGCTGAGCGAGTGTCAAAGCCTCTAAATAGGAATCCGGAATCAAGGTTTCGGACGATTTTTGTCCGTCAACTCCGACAGTAGCTAGTAGCGGTTTTTGACATGACGTCAACCCGGTCCAGAGGACACAGTTACCTTTTACAACGTACTTCTTTCTCTCTTCGGCAATCCTTTGCAATCTTCTGGTGTTGGTTAATATGTCCTGTTCAGCCCTATGCCTTTAATCTGCTAGTGTAAAAAAGTTGCCAAGCTTCAGACGGTCGCATTTTACAGTCCAATGCATACAAAACTTGGCCTGAAAAAACAATTACACAAGTGGTGCTTCTTCATCATGTGGAAACTAGTGTGATGCGAAGAACCCGTCAACAGTAAGCGCCTATTCGCACCCGCGTTACTGAGCTGTGCCCATCAATCCATCAACCATCTCCGCCATACGAAACCTTGGTAGTACAGAAAGTCTAATGTTAAGACAAGTACCCAGGCTAGCGTTCTTATCACTAAAACTGGCCCTGAAGAAAATATAAGGCACAAATTAGAGACATATATGTGTATCTATACTCGGCGCTTGAATTCCTGTCCAGCATTTTGGGTTGGCCTTCTAGCTTGCGTCAACTGCTGACGAACAGCAGGTGAGAGTCGATTCCGCGCCCCCAAGCATGCTGATTTCTCCGTGGATGCAGCGCTAAAACGTCGGCCGTATATAATCCACGTTTGACATTAGCACATGTAAGAACTCCGTCACCACTCACTTAGACGTAGGTTCTTGCCCGTATATCCCGTTTTACAGTTGCTACTCGTGAGCTCGGTTTTCAAAAGTTATTTTGTGCCGCTAGTTCGACAATTGTGATCGACGAGGACGACAACTTTTCCCAGCGAGTATGGCTGACCAGCACTTCATTCAAATTATAGCACGAAGGTATTTGACAGCATCAAAGTGGTTCGCTCTTCCAGCGAATATCAAGCTCGAGCAGTAAAAGGAAGTCAGGAGAAGAGAAGAAGGCTGTCAAGGGAAAATATCAGAATGCACTGCAATGACTCCTAATTGATAAGCGGTTGTCGGTGCTCTTGCAGTTGGATTACATGAATACTGGAGGTAACAGTCAGGATATTTAGAACGAGCAGACGCATCAGACCTACCAAAAGCTCACGCATGAGGAGTTGCAGCAGACGCTCTAACCGACTGGATACTTCTTTCCAGTACACTCTATCCGTGCTTAGACGACCTAGTTGGGCACAGACAATCTGCAGGCCGACGATCAGAGGGTTCGCCATCCCTACCGATGTGAGGTCCGCATTCGTGGAGAGGGCGTCCAGATCGGCGTCGTCTGTCAGCAGGGTGTCGTCGCCGGCCCGCAGGGCTCGAGCAGAGGGTCCTGCCGAGTTGGAACGCTCGTAGTTCAAGGTCTGTCGATAACGGTGCAGGGCCTCGCTGGCCAGGCAATAGGCGCAGCGTGCAGACCTAGGGCGTCCGCGGCGTTTTAATGGGCTACTGGCTGTTGATGTCTGCTCCTTTTCCGCCTGTCCAGAGGACACGTCTTTGGACTTTTTGTTCTTTGAGTTTGTGGAGTCCTGTTCTCGAGCGCAGCAGGCGTAGTACTTCTGAAGTATGGTTCGGTCAGCTTCACCTTCCTCCTAAGGTGCATACAAATTTCATCGATTAGATAAGCTTCTCGTCTCGAATGGCATATCGCAACGCGAATAGTAAGAAAAAAACTAATCAGTAGGATCTTTGATTCCTCGCCGGCATATAAAACCCGAAACTACACAGAACGGGAGATGAAGTAGTGGGTAACAGACCCCACGGACAAACATGGAGAAGGTGTAGTAGACGGGCTTTTCGCCTTGTACAGAAGGGCTCCTAGTCGAATGGGGATTTGAGACTTATCCTAATATTTAAGAAGTGGGATGGGACGTGGCGTAAAGGCGAGAGACCCCAGTGCCGCCCGTTTGCACATAAGTACCTTGGCCCCAAGACGGACCACGGACGGAGGCCACAGCGACTTACGGTAGAGGTTAGTTGGATTGCGCGGAGCCCGTGTGACCTTGACCTGAATTTCAGACTCGTTTGGGTTGGGGGAGTTATTTAAAGTTAGAACACGGTAATGGGTATTCCTCTGGAATTTGGCGCTGGACCGCCTGTAGTACAGGGAGGGTCCGCGTCCTCGCGACCAACCCAATCAATT